TTGAGGACGAGAGGCTCAGATCAGGTGACCTCGTTCTCAGATCAGTGAGCGGAGAAATGGAGCGACGAGAGGAAGAGTAATGTGACGAGGAAGAGGAAGGGGAAACAAAGGAGATGAAGATGAATGATTTAGATCTTTGAAAGCAACAAACTGCCTCATGTGTTAGTGGCTGATCGATGCTCCTCTGAACCAGGAGTTGACTTATCGCCGGGTTAAACGTGTCTTTTCTGCAGTTCTTTCTAGCAGTATAGAATAGAGATGTGTCCCAGGTCCTCCATCGATGTGATATGCACGATACAAACACATCAGAGTGCAACTCAGTGCAAAAGACATAATGGTGCAAGTAAAATGCAGGTAATCTGGAATGAGATGAAACACAATGCAGATTTGAATCCTGTCCCGCTGCAGACAGAAGCTCCCAGTTACTCTTCATCAGGGAACGAGATCTGAGGCTACTCTTCATCATGGACTTTATCATCTGTACACTCTGTGTGCATGAAGGTCAGGTGACGTCAGCTCAGAGTCTCTCAGTTTAAAGCTGCAGGTCAGTTTATCTGAATCAGGGTTGGAGTCGAGGAAGACACTCAACTGACTGTTTTAGCAGGAGATGTGTGGCGTCGTGTGTGAGGGCGGGGGATGAGCTACGAAGGTTAGAAAGGTGTTTTAAACCGATGAGTTTTCAGACTTCCAGAGATGAGGATGTCATCAGAGAGGAAGGTCCAGATTAAAGGCATGCATCAGTCTCTCTCAGGATCTTCATACTGGCCTTTTATGCAGAGATTTCTAATGCATCCTAATGTTGTCATCGGTGCAATTTCACTCTTTATTTAATAAACAATGCATTTATTGATAAGTTAAAGGGGACCTATCATGCAAAATGCACTTTGTGATGTCTGTTATACATCAACATGTGTCCCCGGTGCGTCGGGGAACTCGCGCAGCGTCAGAAAATAAAACCCTCTCTCTTTTCCTCCGTACCACATCTTTTAAAAAACGGTGCTACAACGAGCGGATACAGATTCGCTAACACTCAGAGCTAACCTGTACTGGAGAGAGCATGTGTTTAAAAAGCAGGAAATAAAAAAAGAACTCACCTTGTGGTAAACCTGAGAGAGAAAAAGCATTTGAGCTCCATACTGTTTCAGAAATAATCCTTGATGTGGTTTAGAACAGGATGGCGTTTTATCACAGCAGAATTGAATTTATCTCCGGTAGCATTCTGATCAGGCATTAGCTCCGCCTCCTCTTCTTTATACGCACGCACGCACGCACGCACGCACGCACGCACGCAAGCACACTTTAATCCCAATTGAGCGTTTTCTTATCCTTCGATCAGACGAGGAGACTTTCACCTGTTGCTGTGATTCATTTATTGAAATGGACTCAGTGGCTCGAAGCCAAACTCAGAATCTGCTTCCTCCTCAGGACGGAGATTTATCCAACCCATAAACAACAGGAAGTCCCCGTGCAGAAATCCATACGTCTCTATAATTTACAGGAAACTCGAGTTTTATTTTTTAAATATTATTGCAAAACGTTTTTAATTTTTCTTTTAAGGATTTACTTTTTTTTCCATTTCACTTTGTTATTTTATAATCTTGAAAAATGTTCATTCATTTGGGGAATTTTACTTATAATTTTATGACAGACGGACGGTGCAGAAACAAATTAAAAACCTAGAGGCTTCGTCAACACATCTATAGTGACGTTATGTCAGGATCCCTTGGAGTCACTATCAAACGCAGTGGGGGGTCCCATTGACTTGCATAGAGCTCCCTGAACGTTGGTAATAGACGATGGGATCGCGGCGAAAAGCTCTCCGCAGACCCATTCTCTCAGCGTTTATCAACCTTTGTCTAACTCAATATCAAGCCACATTTATTGTTTTTACTTCTTTATTTTAACTGTATAATGTCAGACTTTTGTTGCCGTCAGTTACGGGGAGAGTAGGGGCTCAGAATACTGACATTTCATTGACGTGTCTTAAAAGATAACATTTACAGCAAACTTAAAGGTAGGGTAGGTAAGTTTGAGAAACCAGCTCGAGATCGCTAGAATGTGAAAATACACAACCGGAGAAAATCTGCCGCTTCCTCACAGAGCCCCTCCTCCAACACACACGAACGCACACATGACCAATGAGGGCACGAGATAAGTTTGTGCACAGATGGAAGGCTGACAGGCAGGTAGGCCATCCAGTTACTTTAGCCGGGCCGGCTCAGATGATTGGTCGTGCTTTTTACAGTACTACAGCTTCCACAGATGATATTTATTTATGTATTTATTGTCAAAGCACTTCAGATATTCATTGCTATCGGGATGTTAAGAGCATTCCATGGAATATAACAAGTGTATCTCGAGCCGGTTTCTCAAACTTACCTACCCCACCTTTAAGTTTTATTTTTAAATATTATTGCAATTCTTCTTGCAGTTTTTTTTTCCCGTTTAAATTTGTATTTTTTAATCTAAAAAAATGTTCTTATATTTTGGGGATTTTCTTATAATTTTATGATTTCAGTTTTATTAATTCTTTTGATAATTAAGGATTTTTTACTGTCATAAAATATCCATATTTTCCAAGCGGCAAACTCTGGGGCAGAGCCGGGAAGCCCATAAGGAAGTGCCTCAAACTGCAGTTCATCTAGTGGCCAGTAGGAGCAGGCTGCAGAAAGGAGCAATCTCCATAGACCCCCATGTTAACATGCCCAACTTTACAGCAGAAATAAACACATTTCTACCCCTGGATGCAATAAAGATTATTCTGGATATAGTTAGATTCCACCTTCATGATTATGGATTTGGGAGTGAATTATTTTATAACGCACCCCTTTTAGTTATATTAGGTCTTAAAGTGTTTGCATAAATTAGGCCATGGTCACTTTGATGGCCGACTCCGCCTACTAAGGGCTTCTCAGCAACTCTGCAGAAACCTATGGGTGACGTCACGGACACTACGTCCATTTATATATATACAGTACAGTCTATGGTATTTTCCCATAAATGTGTGACTTTAATGGTAATAAATCTGTTTCTCAGAATATTCCTCCTCTCCCACGGTTCCACAATCCTTTTATTTATTTTAACCTAACATTGATATTATTAAAAACTGCACTAAAATGCAATCAAAGTAAAAATAGAGCAAACTAATCTGACATTTGTCTGGCTTTTCTTTCAGATAAGAGCAGTTAGTTATGCTCCTGTTTCTCGGCAGGTTATAAAACTTCATATCAGTAAAAAACATGGTTAAAGAAAGATATTTGAATAACACCTTTGTTTCTGTTCTGGACTTTTATTCTGAAAACCCCTCCAGGACGTGCAGATGATCTTCAGAAAGCTTTCCCCTCAAACTGAAATCACAAGTTTCTCCGGCTGTTACACTTCCCTTTCTTCTTTCATAGAAACCCGGCAGCAGTTTTTAAATATAGTTGTTATTTAAATGTTGGAAGGAGCGCGTGATGTTTGGTTCGTGAGGTACGGTGGCCCGGGGCGGACAAAACACTGCTTCTGTTTTATGTTCTGCTTCATCAGGGGGGGGTGGTGTGTGTGTGTGTGTGTGTGTGGTGTGTGTGTGTGTGTGTGTGTGTGTGTGTGTGTGTGTGTGTGTGTGTGTGTGTGTGTGTGTGTGTGTGTGTGTGTGTGTGTGTGTGTGTGTGTGTGTGTGTGTGTGTGTGTGTGTGTGTGTGTGTGTGTGTGTGTGTGTGTGTGTGTGTTGTGTGTGTGTGTGTGTGTGTGTGTGTGTGTGTGTGTGTGTGTGTGTGTGTGTGTGTGTGTGTGTGTGTGTGTGTGTGTGTGTGTGTGTGTGTGTGTGTGTGTGTGTACTCAGTAATATATATCATTCCAATAACTTGTATATAGACTCATACTCCACTATTCCACATACTCACTTTATTTTATAACTATTTTTCTTTTTGTATTTCTCTTGCTATCTGTATTATTATTATGTTGCATTGTTGAAGCCTGTGACATAAGATTTTCAACAACATAATTACTCTGTAGCTGTGTCAGTTTACCAATAAAGAACCTTGAACCTTGTGTGTGTGTTGAACACAGACAGGATGAGTTGGGTGTGTCTTGGCAAAAATCATTTGACAGATCGCTATCTGTCTTTTTCTTATGTAGAGGCAGCAAATTGTTATTGTTAGAGGCGTGGTGTGTGTGTTAGTGTGTGTGTGTGTTTATGTAACCTCTACACACACATGCCTGGAGGCTGCAGATCAGTTGAGATGCCACGTGTGATTTTTCCACTGAGTCAGCACTGTTAATTATTTATTACTGTGTGTGTGTGTGTGTGTGTGTGTGTGTGTGTGTGTGTGTGTGTGTGTGTGTGTGTGTGTGTGTGTGTGTGTGTGGTGTGTGTGTGTGTGGTGTGTGTGTGTGTGTGTGTGTGTGTGTGTGTGTGTGTGTGTGTGTAGTGTGTGTGTGTGTGTGTGTGTGTGTGTGGTGTGTGTGTGTGGTGTGTGTGTGTGTGTGTGTGTGTGTGTGTGTGTGTGTGTGTGTGTGTGTGTGTGTGTGTGTGTGTGTGTGTGTGTGTGTGTGTGTGTGTGTGTGTGTGTGTGTGTGTGTGTGTGTGTGTGTGTGTGTGTGTGTGTGTGTCATAAATCTCTCAACAGCATGTTCTCTATGGGAATTTCCTACAGATTACACGTGAAGATAATTGCAAACACTTGTTGAACTTCACACTTAAATAAATGCCCCCCAGCTATTATCTTGAATTCTTGAAGAAAACGTGTTTTAAGTTAATAAACTTTATAAAAACATAAATTAACAAACTCAGAACAGAGCAACAAATAGATCCGTGTTGAAATCTGCAGAAGAGCTAGCCAACGTTAGCCGTTAGCTGCTACCATCCGTTGGGCAGCGCAGTCCTGCTTGGCCAGAGCTAACGGCTAATGCTAACGGTTAATGCTAAAGGAGGTTCAATTGATTAGCATTGTGGTGTTTAGGCTCTTTTCTGTATGCTAACGTGATAACACTTTTTCTCTCTCGCTCCCGTCTCCTAGCATTTCCAAATCCACGGTGAAGGAGGTGCGGTCTGATGTCCGCCCCCCCTCTCCTCGCCATGCCCACCATGGTCTCCAGGCTGCCCAAATTCGGGTCGAAGCCCAAATCCTCCACGCTTTCCACGGCTAGCTCCACAAACACCCGCCTCACCAACGGGTTCTACCATCACCCGGGCCCCGCGGGGGTCAACGGCTCCTCGTCGTACACCGCTCCGACCCCCGTGAAGCAGAATGGATTCATCCGAGTGCCGACAAAGTGGCGGAAAGAGAACGAAGAGGAAGGCGGAGCAACTGGGATTCGATCCGCTATTAACAACAACAATCATCAGTTAAACCTCCAAGGAAAAACCGCCATTTCTTCTACTGGAAAGGGGCGGGGCTTCGGTTTCCCCTCGTCTTCATCACCTTCGCCGCAGTCCATCCCCCGGTTACTTCCTGTTTCCAAAACTGCGTTAAATGGAATAAAACCGGCAGTGAATGGTGTTTCTGGATCTACTGTTTTAAACGGAACAAAATCTACGCTAATGGGTGTTTCTGGATCTGGATCTGGACCCCGGATCGGTTCTCTGAGGCAGCCGGGTTTCTCTCGTCCCGGCAGTGGAACCGGACCTGGTTCTGGTCCCGGTTCCCGCTCCGGTTCCCCGTTATTAAAGAAACCTCCAGCGAGTCGATCTCACTCCAGCGACAGCCTGGGAAAAGCTACGGTCCCGCTAACGCAAAACGATCGTTTCCGTTCTCGTAGCCTCACTCAGGTCCGCCAACAACCCTCCCCCACCCTAAATCCCTCCCCTACCCTAAATCCCTCCCCCTCCCCCACCATAAATCCCTCCCCTTCCTCCCCCTTATCTCACTCCTCCACCAACATGGCCGCCGCCGCTCAAACTCCCCCTAAAGGAGTCTTGGTGAAACCCAAAAGTCAATCTAAATCTGGACTCCTGCCCCTAAAGAAGCCCCTCCTCCTCCCCCCCAGCACTGGTCCCGCCTCCAAGCCCAGCGGGATCAGCTATAGGCTGTCACGCCCGTCGCTCATCAAGCAGTCCCGCCCCCTCAGAGTCACCACAGCCAATGGGAGCGGACAGGAAGTGATCCGAGGACCGACGGCTAGAAGTAACTCCGTGGAGACGCCGTCGACTACAGAGAACAGCCCAGGTGGGAAATTGTTATTAACGTGATATGTTTGTAAACATCGTAGAAAACACGAATCTCATTGCTAGCATTTTTTTTTTATTTGATCTCGACTTATCCCTGTCTTTAAATAAATGATCAATTATATACATTTTGCGTAAAAATCTTGGATATTTTATGTGAATAAAGATGCGAACATTTTTTTACGGAAAAAATTAATATTATTTTCTGAGGATTAAGTTAAATTGTTTTTTTCTATTAAGGACCCATGTTAGAGGTACATTTACGGAAAATAATCGAACATTTTGTCTCAAAAAAACTACTAAATAATACCCGTAAATGTATAAACCATCATATGTCTCTTTCATTTGATCATTGTTGAAAAAATCTCCAAAAATGTCCCGTCAATTTTATATAGATTTTTTATTAAAATGTTATATTTTTTTAATTAAAATGTTATATTTTTTAATTAAAATGTTATATTTTTTTAATTACAATTTTATATTTGTTCCTGTAAATGTATATATTCCATCATATGTCTCTTTCCTCATCTTATCTGTGTCTTTCTACATCCTTATATTTAATTTCCCTCACGTTGTAGAAAGCCCCCCGGAGGCTCCAGAGAGGGGGCTGTCGGCAGCGATGGTGGCCCAGAGAGAGGTGTCGATTCTGGGGGAGACGCTGGAGGACATGAGCCTCTCCTCCAACTCGTCTCTGGACAGAAACGACACGAGTCAGGAATACATGGACGACTTCGACAACCTCGGTAAGAAAACACTTTGAGATGTGTTAGGAGTGGGTTAGTAACTTATATTATAGGGTTATTGTTTTTTCAGAAATGTACCATATTTTTTATGGGTATGATGATATGTATGGGATAATACAGATATTCTCTAAGATGAATTTACAAGAAAGACAATTCTGAGAAGTTGTTTTTGTCTGATTTTACTTTTTTATTTCCCCCACAATGTCCCTAATTCCCCGTCTCATCTCATTTTGTGTTTTTTAGGAAACGGAGGGATGGGAATTCTTCTTCTCTCATCCAAAAACGACGAGGACGACTCGGGGCTCGACCAATCGTGTGCCAGGTTCAATGAAGAAGACAAGATGGCCGTCAGCGGCGTCTCGAAGGCAGGTTTTTGCTTCCTGGACGACGGCGTGGACTGGTGCGCCGAAAACCGTCTCATCAGACTCCCTCACCGCAGGAGGTCCAATCAGCAGGAGGACCACGAGCAGGTACCGGCACTTTAAATTAATTTGAGAGAAAGAAAGTGGACATTTTCTGAGATTCTAGCCGTACATCTACGAGAAAATACTTAAATAACGTCATGAATTCCTCTTTGTCCGAGTTTTACCTTCCTCCTGCTGACAAACAAACCAAATCTAACCCCTGTTGGCAGAGGGATTAGAATAAAATAATATATATTGATGGCAGACCGGTGTGTTTAAGTAGGAGATAAGAGTCGTGCTGGTATGATGTAATCTAACAAATATTATAAATATGCAATGACTCAGTTTAACCCCACCCTCAGAAACTGTGACACATCTATCTCACTGTGAAGCATTTTCTAACTTCCTATCAGACCCGTTTCACATGTTTCACCCCCAGTGAGCCTCTCTTTGTGTATCTCCTGTATGGATTATTAGTGTAACCCTTCAGAATAAAAGCCTCCCTGTGTGTATCTCCTGTAAACGACAGACTTATAAGCAGACTACTACAAAATAAAAGCCTCTCTTTGTGCATATGCTTCTGAATACACTGATATAGACAGAATCCTTCAGAATAAAGGCCTCTCTGTGTGTATCACCTGTATGGATGATGAGTGTAATCCTTCAGAATAAAAGCCTCTGTGTGTATCACCTGTATGGATGATGAGTGTAATCCTTCAGAATAAAAGCCTCTCTGTGTATCTCCTGTATGGATGATGAGTGGAATCCTTCAGAATAAAAGCCTCTCTGTGTGTATCTCCTGTATGGATGATGAGTGGAATCCTTCAGAATAAAAGCCTCTGTGTATCTCCTGTATGGATGATGACTGGAATCCTTCAGAATAAAAGCCTCTCTGTGTATCTCCTGTATGGATGATGAGTGGAATCCTTCAGAATAAAAGCCTCTCTGTGTGTATCACCTGTATGGATGATGAGTGTAATCCTTCAGAATAAAAGCCTCTCTGTGTGTATCTCCTGTATGGATGATGAGTGGAATCCTTCAGAATAAAAGCCTCTCTGTGTGTATCTCCTGTATGGATGATGAGTGGAATCCTTCAGAATAAAAGCCTCTCTGTGTGTATCACCTGTATGGATGATGAGTGTAATCCTTCAGAATAAAAGCCTCTCTGTGTGTATCTCCTGTATGGATGATGAGTGTAATCCTTCAGAATAAAAGCCTCTCTGTGTTTATCTCCTGTATGGATGATGAGTGGAATCCTTCAGAATAAAAGCCTCTCTGTGTGTATCTCCTGTATGGATGATGACTGGAATCCTTCAGAATAAAAGCCTCTCTGTGTATCTCCTGTATGGGTTATGAGTGTAACCCTTCAGAATAAAAGCCTCTGTGTGTATCTCCTGTATAGATGATGAGTGGAATCCTTCAGAATAAAAGCCTCTGTGTATCTCCTGTATGGATGATGACTGGAATCCTTCAGAATAAAAGCCTCTCTGTGTGTATCTCCTGTATGGATGATGAGTGTAATCCTTCAGAATAAAAGCCTCTCTGTGTGTATCACCTGTATGGATGATGAGTGGAATCCTTCAGAATAAAAGCCTCTCTGTGTGTATCTCCTGTATGGATGATGAGTGTAATCCTTCAGAATAAAAGCCTCTCTGTGTGTATCACCTGTATGGATGATGAGTGTAATCCTTCAGAATAAAAGCCTCTCTCCTCTTTAGGGCGGCTCCTCTCTGGACCTCTCCCCCTCGGACAGCTGTGGGTCGGGGGGGACCTACCTGTGGGACGAGGAGGGTCTGGAGCCCCTGGGGGGGGGAAACGTCTCCATCCACTCCAACAGCAACAACCTGCACATCGGGAGCTTCGACTCCGACCTCAACAGCATCGTGAGTGTGAAGGAAAAAGCTAAATTAGCTCAAAGATATTTTAACCATTTGAGGGTTTTATTTGTCTTGTCACACAATACTAGATAAACTAGAAAACAACCTGAAAAATGTGCATTTTCCCAAATGAAAGTGATGCATTTACAAGAAAGAAAACCTGAAATGTTGATGTACTCTGGGATTATAATCTTACAAATTACTGATGATTTACGAGAATAAAATGATGAGGTGGATCCAGCATTGAATACAAATACACAAATACACAACAAGATCATTTGACTTGTTCCTAATTATCCATTGAACATTGATCGACTGTCACCGTGTGAGCAGCTGATTTGTTTGTGAGTGTTGTTGTTGTTGTTGTGCTGAAAACAGGATGCAGAGTTTAATATTCCTGACGCCTCCGTCCTACTTTAGTCCAGTTTCTCTCCAGATTGGGTCATCTTGTGTCGGTGCCAGACACATCGTGCAGAGAACTCACTGATCCTGGAACAGGCAGAAACAGGCTCTAAATGTCAGCGTTTACACGAGCTGCACATTTTCAAACCAGTCTGAACTCGAGGGTAAAACTTCTAGAAGCTGCTGCTGCTGAAAACCGTTTAATTTAACATTAAATCAACTAAGTCTCACATGTCTGATGTTTGTTATAACCACCTTTATTTTGGTTAAAAAAATATTGAATTCAAATCTACATTATGTCGAAATCTATATAGACATTTTCTTTAAAAGCTAAATAAAATGGATGGAGACAAATATTTTAAAGAAAATTAAATACAAATATTTTAAATAATATAACAACCTATTTTAAATAAAAAAACATATTTAAAATCCATAAAAAAACAATTAAAAAACAGGAGAAAACATAAATATAATTATTAAAACAATTCACAAGTCAGGATAACAACAGGCAGTAAAAAAAGTAAGAAATATCTATAATGTTGTGGGTCCATGCTCAGTATTTTGTGTTCCAACGTATATTTAACAAAATCAGGTCAAGTTTCTGTCCATAGTTAAATAATGAAAAGCTTCCTTTACCTCTGAGCTCTGCATCAGATTTCATTATTCAATCCTCTGGCGCCCTCTGGTGTCTGCTGGGTGAACAGCGCATTTATAAATAAAGTACAGTAAATACAAGTCTCTATTTTTCTTTATTTCAGGACGTTTTGGAAAACCTTGAATCTTGTGATCTGGACGATGACGACCTCATGTTGGATGAAGATCTGCCGGAGGATCACTCCCTGCGCAGCGGTACATTTAGATCTAATAAAGTCACATAAAGTACAATTATGGATCCCCAAAAAGAATATTTAAGAGCTGTGATGTACGATACAATCCACCAAAACCAGCTTTATTTTGTATAAATGTCAAATTAGGCAAATAACCCAAAGCAGACAGAGCAATCTATTCTCAAATTAGCAGCTAAAATAGTTAGTTTTTTAGAATTTGGGTTCAATTTAGAAACTAAAACAGGTCAAATTTCTAACAGTTTAGTTAAGAATCTAAAAAGTTTGAACATTTCAGTTCATGTAATCTAACAGATCAATGCAGCCTAAGCACTTTATTTCAGGCAAGATAACAATTTAAGTTTAGCAGCTAAAACTGTTTAGTTGTAAAAAAAAAAAGTGTTTTAGTTTAAATAACAATCTTCAGGCAACTAAACTAATGATCAGATAGGCAGTTAAAGCAGTTTGTTTTATTTCAAATCTCCAGGCATGTAAGCTAACAGATATTTAGCATCTTAAACAATTCGATTCAGGTAAGCTAACAGTTTAGCTTAGCCGTTTAGCTTCGAATTTTCTTTAGTTAAGCAGCAGAATGACTTGGTTTTGTTAGCTAGCAGTTATATTTAGCTGCTAAACTAATGTAATCCAGGTTATTTTAATGTCAGTTAAGTAGCTTGAATAGTTTGTCTGTTTGTTTGAGATGCAATAACTGTTCAGTTTGTTAGCTTAAACATGTAGATGTAGGTTAGCTCACAGTTTAGCTAGCAGCTAAAACTGTTGTTTCATAGATGTTGGAAAAGTTAGTTTTATTTGAAATACCAATCTTCAGGCAGCTAAGCTAACATTTAAACACAAACAAATAAAGCATCAGCTAAGCAGTTAAACAGCAGTTGAAACAGTTTGTTAGCTAACAGATATTGTTAGCATCTTAAACCATTCGAATTGGTTAAGATGCTAACAGTTTAGCTTAGCCGTTGTTTAGCTTAGAACACATTTGAGTCAAGCTGCTGGATGACTTGGTTTTGTTAGCTAGCAGTTATATTTAGCTGCTACAATAGAGAGTTGTTTCAGGTTAGCTAAACTTTTAGGTTATGAGCTTAAAGAGTGTGTAAATATATATCAGTTAACTGAAATAGTCTCAGTCAGGTTAGCTAACAGTTCACTTTAGTTTAGCTAACAGTTAGCATTTCAAACAGTCTGTTTATCATGAACTGAGTTCATCGTCTGAGATAATGTGGTTTATATTAGGCAACAATTTAGTTTAGCTGCTTTCAGGTTAGCTAACTGTTTAGTTTATCATTTTATCAGTTTATCACAGTTTATTTGAACAGATACAAAACTATAGTTTAGCTACCAGTTAAATTCAGATTAGCTATCGTTTAGTTCACAGTAACAGTTTAGCTATAATCTGATTATCACCTTCTGTATTATATTCTATTAGGATGATAAAAGGATTTAAATACACAGTGCTAATTTCAGTGAAGTCCACAATGTCAGCCTGTTATTCTGATCACATTTCTTGTGTTAATTATATATCTCTTTACTGTAAATAAAGAGTGTGTCTCTGTGTGCAGACGGAGAGGGGTTGGCCCACATGGCTCAGTGGAGGATGAGGCAGCTCTGCTGGGGGAACGACAACGAGAGGTCAGAAAACACACTTATTAATCTTTATTCTGGGTTCATTTAGATCAAATCCAGCTGATTTGGATTTAGAGAAGTAACAACACTGCTCAAAAACACTATAATGCCTTCCAGAGATTGCCTGGACTGTGTTTAAGGGACATAGAGTGCCACAGTGACGCGTCCTAAAACCCCGGAAGTAAACTCCTTCCGGTTCCCTCGACAAAAAAGCAATGCAATTTCTCCATAGGATTTTGGAAAATAGCTGGAAATAAGGTCTGTGGTTGAGACACATTTAAGAGACAGATCATGTTTTGTTCAGTCGGATAATCTCCACATGTCTTCGAGCTATTTTCCAAAATCCTATGGAGAAATTGCATTGCTTTTTTGTCGAGGGAAGTGGTAAAATGCTAACTTACTTCCGGGTTTTAGGATGCGTCACTGTGGCACTCTATGGTAGAATACCATCAATCAAAACCATTTTATATATACATTTGTAGTCATTGTTGTCTAATAATTGGTTGTCTTCTCTGCCTGTTTTGTGCTTCTTGTTGTATTTTGTTCTCTAATTATTGTAAGCAATTAATGTTGTTGTTGTTAGTTTCCTGGCCCATCCTGACACATTCCTTATTGTTCATTATATGGGTTGTATCTGTGTGGTCAAATTAAATGGGTAAAAAGATTATAAAATGCACCTAGAATCGTATAAAAGTCAAAGATACACACACAGCTCTAATTGTATGCTTCTCATAAATGTTAGCTCATGAAGCAACAGTGCAGTAAGAGAGAGGAATAAACTAAATGTTTAATTTCTGTTAGTGTTAATAGAAGTCATGCTAACAAACGTTTCCATTGAGCTGCAGCGATCTGGAGAGCTACAAGCTAACGGAGGATCCGGGGAACAAGAGGACAGACGGAGACCTCATCCTGGACTTTTCTTCCTCAAGGTGACTCAAAACATATTTAGCATCAATCTGCACTAAAACCACAGCTCACTGTTCAATATATTAGTATTTATTTAAAGCCAACTGTCATGTGTGATCACCAGCTTTAATAATCATTTTCTTTATAGATTATTTCCTGGTAGTTTTTCACTGGAAGCCAATCCTCTTTATTTATTGAGTTTTTAAAGTTGGATTTTTCTTGGTGCCAATTGACATTACATCCTCTCCTCCCATAGAGAAATATGTCGTGGTGTATTCGGATCATTGTAGGTAATAATAGATCATTTCCGGGGTAATATTTGGCAAAAAATACCAGAACTTCCAAGATTTAAAATAGTAAAGTTTACAAGAAAATAACCGGATTATTCTGTGATTTTATAAAATCATACATTTGCAAGAAAAACATAAAAAAACTCTGAACACATGTCCCAAAATAAACCCTTTCTCTCAATAATCAATCTTATAATTTACCTATTTTATATCTCCTCCTCCCCCTCCTCTTCCTCAGTCCTCCTGTTGATCTGGGTCCAGATGTGGAGGACTTGGCTGAAGACTGCTCAGCGGTCAGATCTCAGCTGGAGTTCCTGCAGAAGTTGCTGCTGCAGGTCGGTGAAGCTACAGGAGAGAAAACAACAACAATAACGAGTGAAATAGAAAGAGATGCAACCGCCACAACATGACCACACCGTGACCACACCGTGACCACACCGTGACCACACCGTGACCACACCGTGACCACAACGTGACCACACCGTGACCACACCGTGACCACACCGTGACCACAACGTGACCACACATGACCACAACGTGACCACACCGTGACCACACCGTGACCACACCGTGACCACAACGTGACCACAACGTGACCACACCGTGACCACAACGTGACCACACCGTGACCACACCGTGACCACACCGTGACCACACCGTGACCACACCGTGACCACACCGTGACCACACCGTGACCACACCGTGACCACAACGTGACCACACCGTGACCACAACGTGACCACACCGTGACCACACCGTGACCACACCGTGACCACACCGTGACCACAACGTGACCACACATGACCACACCGTGACCACACCGTGACCACACCGTGACCACACCGTGACCACAACGTGACCACACCGTGACCACACCGTGACCACACCGTGACCACACGTGACCACACCGTGACCACACGTGACCACACCGTGACCACAACGTGACCACACCGTGACCACACCGTGACCACACCGTGACCACACCAGACCACAACATGACCACACCATGACCACACATGACCACAACATGACCACACCATGACCACACCATGATCACATGACCACACCATGACCACACCATGACCACACCATGATCACATGACCACACCATGACCACACCATGACCACACCATGACCACACCATGATCACATGACCACACCATGACCACACCATGATCACATGACCACACCATGACCACACCATGACCACACCATGATCACATGACCACACCATGACCACACCATGACCACATGACCACACCATGACCACACCATGACCACACCATGACCACATGACCACACCATGACCACACCATGACCACACCATGACCACATGACCACACCACGACCACACCACGACCACACCACGACCACAACACGACCACAACAAAACGAGACGCTAACATACTGAAAATTGACAGAAAAACAACCCAAAGCTACACGCAACACACGAACACAACATGACTAGGAGGAGATGCGAAAATATGTAAAACATCCACAAGCAGACACAAAATATATAGAAATGGATGCAAAACAATCACAGAAATGCACAATAACTATGAAAGGATGCAAAATAACCACAAAGAGACCACATTGATATGCTAATACCTTTATATATACAGTCTATGGCTAATACACAACTTATTTTCGTTGTCTTCTACAATGTATTTAGTAAGTGTTTACATTTTTCAGCTAGGTCAGATTTTTTTAGGTCTAAATAAAACATTTCGCTCAAAAAGTTGTGTATTTTTTTCCATTTTTTTCCCACAACAGAGAAAATTCAGGTCTTTTTCCATCCTTTTTATTAAAGTTCAATTCGCTCACAGTCTGAACACCGTCAGATTGTATTTTTATGAATTCAAATGTTTATTATAATAACAGTGTGTGGATGTTTTTCAGGAGGAAGACACAGACGAGGACACTCTGACCACAGAGACTCTGAGTCCTGAGAGCGAGTCCAGCTCCGACTCTCAGGTATTCTGTTTCATTCAGACTTTCTACATTAAGATCATCATTTAGGGTTAGAGCGTTGACTCACAGCTGTTGTGTGTGTGTTGTGTGGTGTGGTGGGTGTTGTGTGTGGTGTGTGTGTGTGTGTGTGTGTGTGTGTGTGTGTGTGTGTGTGTGCTGTGGTGTGTGTGTGCTTGTTGTGATGTGTGGTGTTGCCTGTGTTTGGTGTGGTGTGTGTGTCTGGTGTATGTGTGTTGTGTGTGTGTGTCGTGTGATGTATGTGGTGTGTGTGTGTGTGTGTGGTGGTGTGTGTGACTGTGTGTTGTGTGTGTGTGTGTGTGTTGTGTGTGTGTGTGTGTGTGTGGTGTGTGTGTCTTTTGGTGTTTGTGTGTGTGTCGTGTGTGTGTTCAGGCTGCAGGCTAGCCTTCAGGGCGGTGCAGCAGCCTCAGCAGAGGCATTTGCAGGAGCAGAGATCGAACCATCGCTCATCTCACCCTGCAGCTGGTAAAATATTAATATTAACCCCTTTAAAATAAATACAAACCTGAACATTCATCAGGCAGAGGGACTCTTTACAAGTAGAGACACACATACTGATTTACACCTGAACATCAGCAGGAGAGGACCTCTTTAAAGTAGAGACACTACACACTGATATACACCTGAACATCAGCAGGAGAGGACTCTTTAAAGTAGAGACCCTACATACTGATATACACCTGAACATCAGCAGGAGAGGACTCTTTAAAGTAGAGACACTACACACTGATATACACCTGAACATCAGCAGGAGAGGACTCTTTAAAGTAGAGACACTACATACTGATATACACCTGAACATCAGCAGGAGAGGACTCTTTAAAGTAGAGACACTACATACTGTCCCCTTTAATAGACCTGATAGAGTATTTTATAACAAGCATCCTTGTTTCCATGACAGCAGACGGTTCCCATAGTAACCGGCGAGTGTTGTTGCCGGGAGAAGACGGAGCGTCACACACAGACGAGTTCAGCGGAGAGAGAGAGCGTCACCACACAGACACCATGGAGAGAACACCCTGTGAGAGAGACACACACACACACACACACACACACACACACACACACACACACACACACACACACACACACACACATTTGTAACTTTATGATTTTGGAAGATATTGACATTTCGATTTTTTTCCTCCAGTTTTTGAGATTTGTAGGATCTTTAAAATCTCAGAGAATATTCAAGATGTTTCCGATAAACGTAGAACATTTCTTCTTGAAAATGTGAGATTCTTTTCTGGCTCATCTATGACTCAATAATCTATACCAGCAGTGCTGGCCGGTTTACCGCTTTACACCGAATACCGTGAACTTTCTACTGTATCATAAGACTTTTTCATAAACTGTAATACCGTTGAAAAAGTGTCGGAGGGCGCTGGAGCGGTGTCGCAGTGAAAGAAGTCCTCCGGGGACGCAGCACTGTTTTTCCTAGTGATTCTGTGACTCAGAATATATTAGAGTTTTTTTATGGGTTTTGGCTCCATGTTGTCTCTAGAAGTTTCCCTTCCTCTCGTCCCTCTGTTTGTCCTCAGTCTGATTTCTCTTGGTGTTATCAATCCTCTCTTCCTCCTCTTCCTCTTCCTCCCTGTTTCCTCTCCTCTTCCTCTCCTCCTCCTCCTCTTCCTCTCCTCAGGCTCTTCCTCCCTGTTTCCTCTCCCCCCCCCTGGCAGTATCAGCGCTCCAAACCTTTCCGAGCGAGGCCGAAGCCGAGCATCCCCCCCCACCGAGCCTCCAAAAGTGAGTCCATTGACCTCCACAAACCAAACCCCTTCACCTCCTATTCCTCCTCTTCATCGCTGTAGACCAGGCAGGGGGGTCCAAACTGTTTTCACCGAGGGCCGCATACAGAAAAACATACGAAGGTCTGGGCCGCTCACTAGAGGTTATAAGTTAGCTAAATCAATCAGATGGAGGTCAATGATTCTTGATTCTTGAATATGCTGTAAGAAGCAAACAGCTCTCCAGAGGGTTCACTTTATTCTGTGAGCAGCTCATTCCTTCAAACAGGAGCTTCAGATTGATGATGATGAGGGAATATGAAGGTTTATTTCAGGTTGATATGTGAATAAGTTATTGGGCTTTTTTCTTATCAACTTAGATTTGTTAGAACATGTTTTTAACTTTAAATGACTGAATGTATTTGAAAAGTGGGCTCTTATGAACACATGAATACTGTGTAATATATATATTTAAGAAGTACAATTTAAGACAAGCAGAAGTTTATTATACTTAAAGGGGACCTATCATGCAAAATGCACTTGTGTACGTCTTTTCTACATGAATATGTGTCCCCGGTGTTCCAGGGAACTCACCAAGTGTCAGAAAACACAACCCTCTCTATTTTCCTCCATACCCAAATCTCTAAAAAAGGGGCTGCAACGGATCTGATAAAAACTGATCCAGATTTGAACACTGTCCTGACGTCAGGACGGTGGCGCTACGGCTATTGGGCCAACTCCACCAATCAGGAGGAGACAGCCACGGCCATTGCCGTTCGAAAGCGCTGGAGACGCTGTAGTACATATGCCAGGCCTGTAGGTGGTGCTGTTCTCACTGAATCAGCCCTTGCTAAAACAGGGCTGGAAAAGAGCAAGTAGAGCGAAATGAGGCTAAAATGCATGATCTGTTTGGTATTTTGAAAAAAAACCTTCACAGACATGTTTTATATCGGTATGGCCTTACAATATATGTTTCAAATATAGCATGATAGGTCCACTTTAAGTCATTATACTTTTTGAATTTGCTGAGTGAGGGCCGATTCAAAATGGTCCGCGGGCCGTAGTTTGGACCCCCTGCTGACGTGCATCAAACTTATTTACCACTGTTTTAAATAATTTCCCCGTTACAGCTACTAACAAATAGAATAACTATTATTTGCACAAAAAAATGACTTTAATCTCATTTCAAACTCTCTTCCTGTGTGTTTGAGTTGCCTCCTCCTAACCTGTGTTTGTCCTCCCTGCTGCCATCAGGAGAGGAACACTTAGTGCTTTACTTCAGTGACACAGCGTGGTAACACTGACCTTTATATCTTCATCATCCTCCTCTTCCTCCTCTCTCTTCCTCCTCCTCTCTCTTCTCACTCATCCTCCTCCTCCTCCTCCTCCTCTTCCTCATTAAATAGTTAAAGCCGTGTTTGTACTGAATATTCTTTCATCATATTGTTATTTGAATGCTGCAGCTTGCTTGTGTTTGCACGGCTTCTCATTGTGTGTTTAAAGTCAGTGTTTCTGATGAAGATGATGATGAAGATGATGTCCAGTTACTAAGCAGTGATGAAGTATTTCTAGGTGTTAGCTTGTCGTTATATCACCTGCAGTTGAATCTGTTATTAATGAGGTCTCTGACGCACTCTAAAACAAAGTGTCCCTGCAGTACCAGCAGCCTCCACCAGGGGTCAGTGCTCACCTGAGGATACTCTCCATGTTATTCTGCAGAACACCAGAGGAGCAAAACAAAGAGACGAAAGATAAGACCGTGACTAACATTTCAGCTGCAGATTATTGAGTTATTGATCGATAATGAACGCTGTTTCTGATTATCAGCAGCTGCACGACTACAGAGAGGAAACCAATAAGCACACATGCATCAGACACAGCTGCAACATATCGATAATGATATAAATATATATAATGCTGCTGCTCTGTTAACTCGTTTTGAAGAATCTACATATTTAGAAGAAAGAATTGATTGAAGTGAGGATTGTTTGAAAAGAGAAGCTCATTTCAGAAAGTTTAGAGAAACATGTTTTTAAGTTTAATTTGAGAAAACTAACGGATTTATTTTCAGTTGCATGAAAACTACATGTTTCAAAATAAAAGCATCATGCATCAAGTGTTTTTATTTACATCTCAATGAAGCTGATTGTTTCTCTTATCATTTATGTCTGCCGTCCAGTCGGGTTTCAAATCATCGAAATGTGACTTTATTTATTTTCAAAATAAAAGCTTCTCTGATTCAGGAAACTCACTCCTGCAGCAGAAGTTGTTAATGTTTTTATTATTATATTAGTATTACATGTTGTGTCCAGCGGGGTTTCTCTCGCTGAAGTTAAAGCATGAAAATAAAGAAATTGTGACATAAAAAAAAAAATACAGTTTCAAAGTAAAAGCATAATGCATCATAAGGCGCTTTCACACCGGAGTGCTTTTCCCAGGAATAGATCCGATAGTTCCTGGGATTTTGGGTTCACACCAAAAATATCTGGGGCCTCATTTATAAATGCTCAAAAGATGGCGTACGCAAGTTTCTACGCAATGTTTGTGATTTATAAAAAACTAACTTGACGGGAAAATGTGCAGTCCTCCACGCAAACTCTGACCCATGCGTACGCACTAAGCACAACAACGGGAGAGACGAGGGGGGGTGACGTCACGTCGTGTCACGTGACTTGAATTTTGAATTGAGCCGTCCCTTATAGATACTATCTCTTTACGTATTAGTGATGGGAATTCTGGATCATTTGGCTCGGCTAAGAAGAGCCGGCTCCCAAACGGCTCTTCATGTTACCACAGTTCACCACGGAGCCTCAGTTTCGCCGCTGCGAGGCTCCGGCGCTCGCAGTTCACACGCGCGCTCCACTAGCACCCCCCGTCAAGGCTCGCTGGCAGTACACTTTCCGTCACAGGAACACGCTTTGCTGGCGGCGAAAATAACAACAGAGGGATGTCCTTGTCCTTTTTCCTTTTTGTCATTTCAAGCGATAAAAACTCGATCTTCTCTCTAATTATTTATTTTTTTCGACGCCCTCGGCTCGAGTTCAGGGCGGTCCGAGCTGAATAAGGAGACGCCCCCCTGGCGAAAACGCTGATGCAAACCTTTTCACCCTTTTTCAGTGCCTGCTAGAGAGGCGGTAGTTTCCTGGAAGAAAAAGGTTCCAATTTCTGATTGGCTGGGCGAATTGCAAACCACGCCCCGTAAAACTCTGAAAAGTTTTGTGAAGCCGCCATTTTATTTGCTCGCATTAGCATTATTAGTATTAGCATTAGCCCAGCGCACCAACGGAGAGAGACCAACTTATGGCTAGGGATGCATATCGTTGACTTTTTTACGATACCGATACCACCATTCAGACTTGCAGTGGTTACAGACCCCACCATTCAGACTGGCAGTGGTTACAGACCCCACCATTCAGACTGGCAGTGGTTACAGACCCCACCATTCAGACTGGCAGTGGTTACAGACCCCACCATTCAGACTGGCAGTGGTTACAGACCCCATATCACGCCTAACTTTATATGGAAAAAGTATCGAAAACCGGATCTGATTTCGGTACGGTATACCGTAGCCGCCAGTAACCGGTATTTCGGTAATACCGGGAACCGGTATGCACTCCTACTTATGGCTGCACAAAAAAAAACATGGGAGCGGTGGAGTGATGAGGAGGTGTCGGCGCTTCTGGCGATTTACCCGGGACTTCGGGTGGCAGTATACGCCGTGAAGTTGTTCCAGTTCCTGCCAGTAAACCCAAAGCAGAAGAAGAAGAAGTGACGTCAGCGGCTTCATTTGCCTAATCCTCCCTCAAGAGTTCGGGGGGACTAAGTACCGGGGACTAAGTACCGGCGACTAAGTACCGGCGACTAAGTACCGGGGACTAAGCACCGGGGACTAAGCACCGGGGACTAGGTACCGGGGACTAAGTACCGGGGACTAGGTACCGGGGACTAAGTACCGGGGACTAGGTACGGCAAAGTACTTGGTGTGAAAGCGGCTCTAGTCCACTCTCTGATTCAGGAAACACATCAATAATCTCTCTTGTTCTGATTTTGTTGATTTATCATTTTGTTGACTCTTATGACTGTTTTTATATTATTCTCATGTTTTTTCATTTTCATTTTTTCTGCACGTTTTAATGTTTTTTAAGCGTTTTCAAATCCCCGTTTTGTTCCAAAGTGCTTCAAAAATAAACCATAAAAAGAAAACATGAATAATTTTTCTTCCAATTTAAATTCTGTTTTCTTTTGTTTCCAGTCACAGATATCTCACGCCCCCCCGCTGAGGAGGGAGGAGTCATGTGACAGGAAGCAGCAGATCCGCCCCCCCCAACCCTCTAAACTCCACCTTTTCACCGCCAGTAAAACAAGCACCTCTTCGGGATCAAAGGTCAAACCGGCGCCCCCCGCTTTGTCCCGCCTCCCGAAGCCAAAGAGCCACTGAGTCCACTTCCTGTCTCCTGTCTCCTGTTTCCTGTCCCCTCCCCTTACTCACATTTAACTTATTTATTGTTAATATTTGCAGCACTGTGAAAAATAAAGGTTGAAATGTTTTATTTTAAAGGTCCGTAACGACTTCCTGCAGAAAATAATGACTGAAACTAAAAGGTTATTTTCAATATCGATTATTGATTTGGTGTTTAAAATGTCTAAAGTTAGTATGGCTTCAGGGAAATACGGAAACTAACGTTATGAATGGATAAAAGTGCCACGTAACTTTGAATGAAACCATTATAATCCATTTATTGTCTCCCTACAAAAAGGCTTGATCCCAAACAGTGGCGATTCTAGAGTCGGTGGGGGCCCTAGGCAAACATCCACTGGGGGCCCCTCGAACCATCAGTGGCGCCCCCCCCCCCCCCCCCCAAGAGCGGAGCAAGGCAACGAAACTTAAGATAAGAAGCAGCATTTTACGGCGCGCTATGCATGGGGCCCCCTTGAGGGGGGGTCCCGACGTGTCGTTGCAGTAAATTAAAGGGTGTTTCATGTTGTCGTTGCTGTGGACCTTCTCAATCTACCGTCTTTGGGGGCCCCCTTCTGCTCCGGGGCCCCAAGCAGTTGCCTGTTCGCAAGCGGCGCCCCTGATACCAAAACAAGTAAGAGTTTGTTTTGGGGTTAAATTATTAAATAAATGCATTTTAATTCGAGACTTTTCCCCCAAAAACTCTTCAAACATCATTTTGAGTCCACGAGACTCTCCTCTCAACAATCTGAATCAGCTGAAATGGAGATTTTCTTTTTATTTAAAGAAAATTGATAGAAAATAAACTGAAATAAATAAAAAATCCCTGAATAAAAGTAAAACAGTATTATTAAATTATATTTTAAATGATGTTCCTGTATGTTTAAAAGAAATGTATTTCCGTTAGCAAACGAGCTAATATGGAAAATTAATCAGAAATAAAATGACAACGTGTCACGTGTTCTGAATTGACCAATCAGAATCGAGTATTCAACTAAGCCATGTACAATGGGAAATAAAATAACTCTTAGCTGTTTTTATCAGGAAATGACCGGACCAGTAAAATAAAGCGTTTTCTAAAACCTTTCGCTCTCATTTAGTTTGTTTATTTATTCCCGTTAGCAAACGAGTAAAAGACAAAACGACGTTAGTGCCTGAGTCACTTCCTGTTACCTTGCTGCTTCTCACCGTGACTCCTCTTCATCAAAATCTTCATCATCGGGGCTTCGTTCCCAAAAACACAAACTCCGGATCCTCCGTGAAAACCAAACGTCTCCGAGGTCAGACTCTTCAGTTCCTCTCCGTGAGTTTGACTTAAATCCACTTTTAAAACGTTAGCCGTGTTTCCATTCAATCGTCAAACTTTAAAATGTCTCAGAAATTAATCGGCATGTTTTTAGTAGAAGTAGAAGTTGGGGTTAAAGGCGACAATTAATGCATGGCTGTTATCCTCCAGGAAACAACACAAAATCAAACATTTGGGAACATTTTCAATTGTTTTGGAGATTTTAGGGATTTATTTGTTTTTCTTAATATATTTTTGGCACATTTAAAGCAAATTATTTAATTATACATTTTCCACATTTTTGACATTTTAGGAAAAATCTTAATTATTATTTCCTCAATATTTCTTTATTTTTTCCGTTTTTTTTAATACACATTTCAATAATTAATTCCTACATCTTTCACGTGTTTTTCTGACTTTTTAAAAAAGAATGCTGATTATTGTTGTTGTGTACATTTTGTTGTGCAATTAAGCAATCCCAACTTCCCCATTTGGACTCGTTTAAACACGTGAATGGAAACACGGCTGCTGACGCATCAGGTGGAGAAATGATAAATCTCCCGAACACATAAAAGACGTTTGTTAGCGCCATCAATTCAATATTTTAGAAACTCGCTGATCCTCTAAATGCTGAATATCACATTTTATTCTGAAATATCAGGACGCCTTTGCAGCAGACCCTTCCTCACATTAACATTTGTGAAACCCAGACATATGATCTCATATCAGTGGAGGTGTGTTTATGCAATACTAATATGCAACATCATTCATTCCCTGAAACACTGGATGTTTAAAATATGCAAACAGTAATTCATGTTTTTGGGTTATTTATACGTCAGAAATTAATTGTAGAATATTTCTGATAAAATGTGAAACAACAACAACTGGAGAGAAAAACAGCGATTTTAACATGAAATGCCAAAAACATGAATGATGTTGTGATTATCAAACAAAATGAGATCTTTAAGAAAAATATGATTATTTTTTTTTTTTTTTAAAACACATTTCCAATACTCGCAAAACCTAAATTACACCATTATCAAATTAGACCTCCTGTTGTTGTTGTTTACAAGCAAATGTAAAACATTAGGATTTATTTATTCTTCTTTTTCCTGTTAGATTATTTATAATTTAAGTGACCTTTTTTCTGTTGACTGTTGAAAAGCTTGAAAAAAAAGATATATATTACGGTGCGTCCACACGGCAGCGTGCGTTGAAGCTTGCCGGTGGGCGTGTCTGGCGTGCGACCAACAACCAATCACATTAATCTCCCGCCCCGGACACACAAACACGCGGATTGATTGGCTAGCGATTGTACTGGCATATGATTTGATTGGCTGGCGCTTCAGTCGACGCTTGAAAAGTTTTCTCAACTTTCAAAGCGAGCAACGGACCCACAATGCAGTTCGGCAAAGCGTGACGTCACCCCATTCAAAGTGAATGGGAAGCATCTCCGTTGAAGCACGCGACGCTGCCGTGTGGACGGGCCGTTATACAGTTCCTAAATTAACAGGATCTTAAAAACACTTCCTAAAGATATTTCACAATAAAAGCATTTCCGAATGAAGAGATAATCGCAGAAAGATTTTATTGTGAAACAGGAAGTGTTCCGCCTCGTTAAAGCAAAGTAGAATAACCTGGGAAGCGTTAATTAATTACAAAACATATTGGAAACGTTTTGATTTCTTTGTCAGAGTTTCACGATGAGCTGCTTTACTGTGGATAATATTTAAATCACTGTATTTACTCTTATTTAAATAGACATGTAATAATGTTATATCTCCACAACTCACCATAATGTACTCTCTCTACAGTCTCCATTACTGTACGCTGACTTTTATTTTGAAAACTTGAAGCACAGGTGTTTTATGTTGAAAATCACGCTGCCGTTTCCTGTCACCTGCAGTTTGTTTTGTGTGCAATAACTCTGGAGAACTCAAGTGATAAAGTCTTACTACTGTTATTATTATTATTATTATTACACTGAAGACTTTAAGCTTTCAGTCTGAAATGCACTTTAAACTACGGATCCGTTTGTCTTAAATACTGTTTTATACGACAGTGTTTTTGCGCCATTTTATGTCAAATATATATTATTATTATTATTAATACAGAGTTGGCGTTAAAAGTCCCTCTGATGCAGCTGCCCTAACCCTTGAGCAGCCGCTATCTCCCTTAAGGAGGGGCTGCCCTAGCAAGTTGTTGTTGTTACCAGTTTGTGACCGGGCAGCTCTCGGTCAGAGATAGTTGTTGTTGTGGGACACCTGGAACACATCCTTCTCGAGGTGTAGATGACCTCGAGCCATACGCGACAACAAATGTGATTCAGTGTCCTCAGCTGTTTAGTCTATTGAAGAATGTTGATCATTACACTCTGAACTAGTTCAAACCTGGAGCTACAGGAGGGCTCTTCAGAATTGATTTGGTATCTCATCTGTGTGGTCAGACCGTGGCCCGTGACATGTCTTGTGAATTCTCCGGCCGAAGCTCCAAATAAACCGTCAGTGTTTGCCATCAAAGCTCCAGCTCTCCTCGTGTCTCTCTGAGTCCTGACTCCATCAAAGCTCAAGCTCTCCTCGTGTCTCTCTGAGTCCTGACTCCATCAAAGCTCCAGCTCTCCTCGTGTCTCTCTGAGTCCTGACTCCATCAAAGCTCCAGCTCTCCTCGTGTCTCTCTGAGTCCTGACTCCATCAAAGCTCCAGCTCTCCTCGTGTCTCTCTGAGTCCTGACTCCATCAAAGCTCCAGCTCTCCATGTGTCTCTCTGAGTCCTGACTCCATCAAAGCTCCAGCTCTCCTCGTGTCTCTCTGAGTCCTGACTCCATCAAAGCTCAAGCTCTCCTCGTGTCTCTCTGAGTCCTGACTCCATCAAAGCTCCAGCTCTCCTCGTGTCTCTCTGAGTCCTGACTCCATCAAAGCTCCAGCTCTCCTCGTGTCTCTCTCTGAGTCCTGACTCCATCAAAGCTCCAGCTCTCCTTGTGTCTCTCTGAGTCCTGACTCCATCAAAGCTCCAGCTCTCCTCGTGTCTCTCTGAGTCCTGACTCCATCAGAGCTCCAGCTCTCCTCGTGTCTCTCTGAGTCCTGACTCCATCAAAGCTCCAGCTCTCCATCGTGTCTCTCTGAGTCCTGACTCCATCAAAGCTCCAGCTCTCCTCGTGTCTCTCTGAGTCCTGACTCCATCAAAGCTCCAGCTCTCCATCGTGTCTCTCTGAGTCCTGACTCCATCAAAGCTCCAGCTCTCCTCGTCTCTCTCTGAGTCCTGACTCCATCAAAGCTCCAGCTCTCCTCGTGTCTCTCTGAGTCCTGACTCCATCAAAGCTCCAGCTCTCCTCGTGTCTCTCTGAGTCCTGACTCCATCAAAGCTCCAGCTCTCCTCGTGTCTCTCTGAGTCCTGACTCCATCAAAGCTCCAGCTCTCCTCGTGTCTCTCTCTGAGTCCTGACTCCATCAAAGCTCCAGCTCTCCTCGTGTCTCTCTGAGTCCTGACTCCATCAAAGCTCCAGCTCTCCTCGTGTCTCTCTGAGTCCTGACTCCATCAAAGCTCCAGCTCTCCTCGTGTCTCTCTGAGTCCTGAGAGATTGCTTCAGATGTTTCCCCCACAATAACAAATCTAGTTTCCTTGTAATTTGACCACTTTAATACATTTTAAAATAATAATAAAAATGCAGAATTCTCAGAATGAGTTCCCCCTCAGCCAAACTCTGTATTATTATCATTTTTAAAAACTAAAATGGCTCGAAAACACTCGTAGTTGTATTTGTGTTATTTGTTTGTGACTGTTTGGTCTTCTCTTGCTGCTTTAATGCTGTATTCACGTCA